CCTCGAAAAGGCCACAATGGCGACCAAAGACACCCGCTCTGCAATGAGAGCAAAGAAGGAGGAACTGCGTGAAGCCGGAGACATTGTGGCTGGGAAGCCCTTTATGCTGCGGAGGAAGTTCGGCGATCCGCGGTATGCCCCTCTGGATCGGCTGTGGAGTTCGGCCGACGCATATCTGGACTTAGCGGCGAGCACTGTCGATGCGGCCGAATACTTCCGAGATCAGACAGATCGTGAAGTGGACAAGCTATTCTGGTCGCAATTTAACGTTCCAGAGTGTCCGCTTCCATTGACTGATCAGCTTGCCGAATGGGCCGAACTCAATAGATTGTCCAGACTCGCCATGAGGTCTGTCATGGATCATCTGTGGCCGGAAAGGCCGAAGCCGAACAGCTATTTTAGCTTGGTGCAGCAGTTCCTTGGTGCGGTGCCACGCATTAATGTGATGAAGAGGTCGGCGTGCATAGAAGGCTCGCGGATGGCCCTTGCCCGTGTCAAAACATACTGGGCGGAGATGGATGCCACCACTACCGTGGCGTAGGGTTCGGCCATAGGCCGAGTGGCTGCCAAGCACTATTTTGAAGAAATTCTTGAGGGCGCTCGTTCGATAGAGGCCCAGTGCTCGAAGAATGTTATGTTTGAGTGACATGTATTCCCATTGTAAAAACAACGTTTTATTGAATTTATCAAGGTTGTATTTATATTTTTGCCTGAAAGTATTGTGATGCCTCATGTGCGGCCGTTTATGTATACATGTGTATAACCTGAAAGATTGCAGTCATCGGCTTCAGCCCCCACGCATATAATGCGGGGGTGTTCGCAGAAGACGCGTATTCACACTTAATCCAACGTCTTGGTCCTAATAAGGAGCTGATAGCGCAGCGAACTAGGCAACCGGACTATAATGCTTTAACACTTTCACTTAGCCATAGGAGTTTGACAGTGGGGCTACTATATAGCCCCTGTTGGCTCCGCACTCATCCGGATTCGGGGTGCGTACATGCCTGGCCGGGAAACGGCCCTTCGTTAATGCGGAGGAATCCCAAAGATTCCAATAAGTCATTGAGTGGTTGACCAGTCTCACGCTATATCATGACAGTCAGTTTTCGGCTTTCTCTACTTAGGTGCTCGTCCGGATGAACCAGGGCATAATCGCAGTAGTTCTCCTGGTGCCGCCTTAGCCGATAGAGCGGAACGTAAGGTAGCAAAACACAGGAGCCGGGCAAACCCAACATTTGACCAAAGACATGATTCGAAGCTGATGCATATAAGGCCAAACTCGCGACGCCGAACACTCCCTAATATATTCGGTCTTTATGGTGTAAACCGGGTCTAAACAGTACCCTTTGTAATAAGCCCCTGGCGTCCAGGTACGTGCATTATTCTGGCGTGGCCACATGCAAAGACGCCAGCATCCTTCATGGTTGTAATGAGAATCCGAGAGATGTAAATCAACAAGAGAGAGTAAAAAAGATTTACGCAGGGTCTTAATCTACAAAGAATCCTTGGAACGGGTCCCTGCTGCACATCTGCGCCTGTGTCTCTGTTGTGTCGTATCCTGGACGGGTGTAGCACGATGGTCATCTGAAAAAAAAAGGAACTTAATTGAAAAGTTGTCGTGCAAAAGTTAAGTTATACTAAATAAACAATATATAGTTGAAAATGAGTAAAGGTGAGCCTTATTGCCACTTTTGCGCGCGCGTTGAGCCCCTTGTATTGTAATAGGGGTATGGCCATCAAGCCTGTATTAATTACATATAGCTGAGCTGGACTCGTCTAGCCGTGTCCGTGGTCTTAACGACATGTCAAATGCTTGAGTTGGTGAGGTCGTTTAGTGTGTGGCGGCCAAGGCGGCCGCACCGTCTTCGGCGCGCAAGGAGCGCTCATTATTTCCATTTACTGTAATGATGCTGCGTGGACCGGGCAGCGTGAGCTTGAGGGAAGCGTAATGCGGTATTGCGTTAAAGCGAGCGAAAGCTTCGCGTCCGAGTAGTGCTTGATAGCCACTTTGGAACGGAGCGACGTGGAAAGTTAAATTTTTGCTGCGGAAGTTATCGGGGAAGCCGAATATAACCTCTAGTAGCAGGGAGCCCCTGCAGTGAGCCTCCGGGCCTAGCGTTACTCCTTTAAAGGTAGCATTGCTGCGACAAATTTTTGTTGGGTCTATCCCCATTTTGTGGACTGTGTCCTGATATATCAGATTTAAACTGTTGCCGCCGTCCATCAAGACTCGGGTGAAGTGGTATCCGTCAATTATTGGATCTAATACCAAGGCAGCCCATCCTGCACGCCGGATACTTGCCGAGTAATCCCGATGGTCGAAGGTCACTGGTAGAAAAAGGGCCTTTAGTCCCGGTTCGTAAGGGCCTTTAGTCCCGGTTCTGGAACCGGGACTAAAGTGTCGGTACTAATACCTCCCCCTTTAGTCCCGGTTCAATCCAGAACCGGGACTAAAGCCCCTCCACGTGGCAGGTCCACCTTTAGTCCCGGTTGGTAATACCAACCGGTACTAAAGGAAATTTCCTGATTTTTTTTTAATTTTTTTTATTTTCAAATTTCTGAATTATTTTAACCTCTAATCTCTAATCACCCCTCATCACTGCTTAATTTAATCTCTAATCACCCCTCATCATTCCAAATCATCTCACTTCCCGAACGGTCACCCATCCTCTCACTACTCCAGCCTGAGCACGCTTAACTTCCGGGTTCTATTCTCCCTCGTTTCCAAGTCTGCACTTGTTGTTTTCCTGACAATAGTAAGATGTCAATCCTATTAACCCTCAGGAATTTAGCTTGAGCATGAAGTCACATATTTCACAGTTTGAGTTTAAAACTATTGTTCTAAAAAACAATAATTTTTTAGTAACACTAATATTTTTGAATAAGTAGTTTGACCAAGTTTGACCATAGTTTGACCAGATTTGACCAAAATTCAAAAAAGGTGAAATAATTATTTAATAACACTAATATTCTTAAATAATTATTTAGTAACACTAATACTTCTTGAATAAGTATTTTAAAAAATTGAAATTTAAAAAAACTGAAATTTGAGCATAACTTTTTTTCCTTTTGGAATTTGAGGATTCTAGAAATTTGCAAACAGGCCGTAGGCGGTCTCCATCGGATGTAACTTTTCGAGTAGATGATTTTTCATATAAAAAACTTTTTCATCCGAGTTCGTATGCAAAAGTTATGCGCATTTTACAAATTCCAGAGAGATTTTGTAAATAAAGTCGAAATTCATATTTGTAAATTATCCCAACAACTAGACCACATATCACATGTGAAACTTATTTTATTTTATTTTTTTGACATTTCCATCATTTTCTTTTATTTTTAAAAAAACTGAAAAGGCGATCCATGGGGAGGTATAGTTTGAAAATGGGACCTTTAGTACCAGTTCGTGGCACGAACCGGGACTAAAGGTCTCATCCCCATTAGTCCCGGTTCGTGCCTCAAACCGGGACTAAAGGTCTAATCTTTAGTCCCGGTTTGTGGCACGAACCGGGACCAATAGTTGTGGGCCAGGAGCGAGGCCCATTGGTCCCGGTTCATCCCACCAACCGGGACCAAAACGTCTAGATGAACCGGGACTAATGCCTTAGCCGCACGAACCGGGACCACTTCTCACATTAGTCCCGGTTCTAGACTGAACCGGGACTAATGGGCTGAGGCGGCCTGGACCATAGCCCCTTTTTCTACTAGTGGGTGATCGGTTGGAACGACCAGTGGCGGAGCTCCGCGGTGATAGGCCCTGGGGCATGTTCCTCTAAAGGTGCCACTTTGTTTTTCCCTTTTATCATGTGTAACACGCTGACTGTTTTGACTTCTGGTGGGAATTTCTTCTGTTCCCCTGTGCTTTGCTCGTGAGGCTCGTCCTCGTCTTCACTTGTCATATGTAGTTCGTCATGTCGGTTAAGTCATCGACAGTGGCTACTAAGTGGGTGGTAGGTGGGCGGCGAATTTCTTCGTCATCCGCATCCCAATCTTGTCATATGTAGTTCGGCCAGGACTCTCCTGACAAGGAGAGAGACCTTAATGAGTTCAGTATGTCGTCAAAGGGCAACCAAACGAATTATTTTTGTCCTACGCAGACTTGGTTGGGTTGTATGCAGGCAACCAAACACACCTCCAAGTGTGTGGACTGATGTATTCGCTCTAGTCATTTTTACTCCGCGTATTAGAATTGTGTCAAGTTAAATCTCATAAAGTTTGATTAAATTTATATTAAAAATATCAGCATTTACAACACCAAATATATATACTACTCCCTCCATTCCGAAATATAGTGCCCCCGCGCTTCCCGATGTCCAACTTTGACGACAAATTCAATCAACGAGACCGACTGCGGCGGCCAGGAGAAAAAATATATAATTAAAAACTTGTTTTGAATACGAATTCACTGGTATAATTTTTGCTTCCGCCACATTCGGTCTCGTTGGTTAAATTTATGGTCAAAATTGAAGCACGAAAATAGAAGAAACACTATAGTTTGGAACGAAGGGAGTACCAAACCACATTTCATAATGAATTTAGCAATATTGACAATATTTGGTATTGTTAATATCAATACTTTTTTCTCTATGTTTGATCAAAATAAAAATACTTTGACTTTACACAAAAAATATATGCAGACTAAAAAGGACCGGCAAAAGCACACGCGCCTCATCAAATATCTAAATTTGCTTGAACGTAAAAGAAAAAACTAAATTTGCTCATGGTCACGAAAGAGCGGAGAGCCGAGGCTGTGCCGTTCCGCTGCTCTGATTGGCCCGCGGCCCCCTCCCACGGATCACGCCCCCCAGGCGAACATCCACCGTCCGTGCCGCCTCCATCCGACGGCCCGCGCCCCGCATCACGCGGATCGCCCCCCGACCACCGCGGGTATATAATCCCAGCCGCAGCGCCTCCATTTTCAAACCACCTCAGCAGCACAGCCCAGCTTCCGCCCACTCTCAACCCCCTCTCGCCGGAGCCCCAGCAAGGAGCAAGCAAGCAAGATGGACGGCAGCAAGGCGAAGAAGGTGGCGGCGAAGAAGTTCGGCGGGCCGAGGAAGAAGTCGGTGACCAAGTCCATCAAGGCTGGGCTCCAGTTCCCCGTCGGCCGCATCGGGCGCTACCTCAAGAAGGGCCGCTACTCCCAGCGCGTCGGCTCCGGCGCCCCCGTCTACCTCGCCGCCGTCCTCGAGTACCTCGCCGCTGAGGTACGCACACCACGCCACCGTTATACTCCTCGTCGACGCCCTACTCCTGCCTCTCTCCCCGGTCTGAGCCAAGCCGCCGATCTTGTTTTGCAGGTGCTGGAGCTGGCCGGCAACGCCGCCAAGGACAACAAGAAGACGAGGATCGTGCCGAGGCACCTGCTGCTGGCCATCCGCAACGACCAGGAGCTCGGGAGGCTGCTGAGCGGCGTCACCATCGCCCACGGCGGCGTGATCCCCAACATCAACCCGGTGCTGCTCCCCAAGAAGGCCGCCGAGAAGGCGGAGAAGGCCGGCACCGCCGCCAAGTCGCCCAAGAAGGCCACCAAGTCCCCCAAGAAGGCCACCAAGGCCTAGATCCGGCCGGGACCGACCGTGCCGGTGGTGCTCCGGCAGCCCTCGTGTGCCTAGTGTCTGTGTTAATTAAGTTAGCTGTGGTGTGTTCCAGAGAGTGCTCAAGCTTGTACTTTTGCTTTGCCCCGCCATGTAACCATGAACGAAGAGGAAGCGTCTTGCTTCCTCTGTTCTGCTGAATCGATCTGGTTTCTAATGCAGTGTTTGTTAAAATGTCACTGAATTTCTGATCTATTTTGAACTGTATTTGCCCTGCCATTTGTTGTACGAGCATGCTAAGCACTGTTGAGATCATTGCCATTGCTTGCAAATGTCATCACGATTTGCTAATCCAACTGATTTTCTGTAGGCGATTCCACGAAAATTTGTATCTGGGAACAGCTTCAGATCTGGTTGATTAGTTACAGTGTTCATCTCTGCATTCTTCCTCTAAGTATGCTGAGATTGTTGTAAGAGACTACTATGATTTCATTCAAGTAAGGGAATCGGGGAGTGGCCTCCCTGTTCTTCTTAAAAAAAATCTCTGCATTCTTGCAAATGAGTTACTAATAGAATCTGAAACGTGACATACAAATTATATGGTTGTGTACAGATTTTTGTTCTTATGCCTGACTTGAAGGCGCAAGAGGCTACAAAATAACATTTCAAGATGGTTTACTGGTGCATGCTCGAGTCACAACAACAAATCTGCAGTAGTTAGTACTCCAACTGTCCCAGAAGGTTTGTCTTACATTTGCTTAGATATGGATGAATGCAGACACGTTCTAGTGTTAGATACATCCGAATCTAGACAAATGTAAGACGAGCATTTTGGGATGGAGGAAGTAGTATTTTGCAAGGCAACAGTATTGTCTAAATGGCCATTGTGTTTGTTGATTTATAATTAAGGGAGAGACATGGTTCTCGTTTTGCAACTGAATGACCATTATGTGTGTTGATTTATAATTAAGGAAGTACTAGATCTGCCAATCAAGAACCATCTCTGTTTTTATGGTGTGAAGGAAACAGCAGCCATGACATACCTGATTTTCTGACCATGAGAATTTGACAATGAATTTCTTATGCCTGACTTGAATCGTCAAGAGAATCAACATCAAGGTAACAACACAGGGGCACCAAGGCCACAAAGAATATTTCATCACTCGTTCTTGTGCTAACTACTACTTTCAAGGTCATAAAACCAGTGGTACATATGCCAACACCAACAAAACAACAGTACTTAGTTCGTAAGGTGACAGTGTCTCATTCTCCGGTTTTCGCCAACATCGTCCCGGTCCCGACATCAAGGAGCAGCGCGTCGAGCCGAGCCTCCAGGCAGCAGCCTACCTCCGCAGGCCCTCCACGACGTAAGTAGCATACAGATCCCTGTGAACAGAACAGCAAGAAGACCGGCGTCAACTCAGCACCAAAATCATCTTCGACAGCCATGCTGAGGGGATTCAAGAAAGAAACACTTACATGGAATGCTGAATGGCCTCATAAGCAGCAGTCGCGGGCAGAAAGTCGTTCACAGCGACCTCCTTGTTCTCATTCTTCTTGTCTGGACGTCACGGTTAAAGAAATCATTCGATCTAAGAGGGAGACATGTACTACAAACTTGCATTGCCTTGGCCATTTATCCATGTTTCAGCTCTAAACAAACTAGAAATGCACATAGCTATGCACCGGTAATTCATAAAAGAGGTGAGGGCTAGTAATTTTCCTACTCCCTCTGTTCCGAATTACTTGTCGCAGGTATGGATGTATCTGGATGTATTTTAGTTCTAGATGCAACCATTTCTCCGACGAGTAATTTGGAACGGAGGGAGTAGAAGTATCCTGCAGGTTAAAACTTAGGGGGCTCTTTTCTGCAACTAAAACCAAAGTAAGCAAACTTTTTGTTGTTGTGGAATGCTTGCTAGTCATATCTGAGTATAAGTGGATCAACAAGGATACAGTCCTCAAAGAAGCGTCTGATTTCAGCCAACCGATGAGGTGGGAGCTCCTTGATATCATTGAAATGCTTGTATTCAGGGTCATCAGCACACACTGCAATGATCTTATCATCTGCTTCTCCCTGTTCAAATAAATAGTGATCAGCATCTCTGTCTTCTTTGGACTGCAGGGTTGAGAGATGAAACTATGAAACCAAACCTGGTCAATCATAGGCATGAGGCCAATGGCCTTTGCGCGGAGGAAACAGCCGGGCACAACTGGCTCCTGTATCAACAAAAATGTACATTTTAAACACTGACCCAAACAACAAATACAAAGATTTGCGAATGCAGATTGTTAATGTCCCACAACCAACTAACAGATTCTACAGTAGGAATTACAACGACCTTCTGCCCTTTTGATGAGGGTACACCAGAAAAGGGAAGTAGTAAGACATACCTGCATAATAACTAGCACATCCATCGGATCACTGTCATCACACAGTGTGCGGGGAATGAATCCATAGTTGTGAGGGTACACCACTGATGAATAGAGCACACGGTCCACCTGCACACATGCATATACAGCCAACGAAAACCATAAGAACGATTGGGCAAAAGAGATTCAAAATAGGAGGGAAAATGAATAGCAATGCTTTACCATTATCAGTCCAGTTTTCTTGTCAAGTTCATATTTAACCTTGCTGCCCCTAGGTATCTCAATGACCTGGCATAAAATAGCATCTATTTTTTAGTTTGTTGTTCAGAACTCCTAGGCATGTAGGATATTAACTAATTAAACAAAATTGAGAAGCTTGAAATGTCATATATATATTAGATGAAGTGGAACCCTTGCTTTTCAAGTTAACAGAAGGAAAGGGGCTATGCTATTGATATGGATTTGTAGCATAAATATACAGCAATTTCTTTTAGATAATTATACAACAAAATTAGAAGGAAAGGAAAATCAGTAGGAATATATTAGGGTGGCCTTACACAATTGAAGATAGTTGGTGCATCAGGGCCTGCAAAAGAAGTCCAAAACATAAGTTTTCAGAAGAGGGAAGCAATGAAATCGATGTTTTGTGAAGATCAAATGTCAAATACCTATTTCAAGATCATGCCATGAATGTGCTGAACCAGGTCTCCGGGTCATGGATGATAGTATTCTTTCATTAAGAACAGGAGGCTTAACGGGTGTGCTTGCCGCCTTGACCTTCTCCACTGCTTCAATAGCGGGAGCCATCGCAAAAACCTGAAAACAATTGTATGTTTGCTTATTTTAGGAAACTAAATACAGAAATTCCAATTAAAGCCATCCCAGCAGAAGTTAATGTCATCATAGAAGATACAAGAATGTTAACTGAAAAAGCAATCGTCGAGCTTTGAATAAAGACTAACTATGATAACACCATGTCAGGAGATCATAGGCACAAATGAGCAAACACAATAATACAAGATTGGTACTCTCGGGAAAAAACAACTTGGCAAACTATGTTGACAGCAGCAATCAAACAATATAATTGACCCAGGCACCACAACAAAACCAGGAACTTGATATAGATGGATGGTTTTTCATGTATATCCATGTATGATGAATGTTAGCACCTTCTTTAGTTTATTTACAGAACAGGCATAGGCAAATGGATCAACATCTTGTAATTGATGATTAACTATATGAACAACATACATGTTGTGAATGTACAGCGATGAAATCCACACTTACATAGATAGAAAATGACTAGTACTACACACCGTCCAGTTTACAGCTTAGGACAAAGATTTTGTGCGGGACAAGACTATTTCTTATGGACCAAATAAATCATTTAGAAACCATCAATAAGTAGGACTAGTGATTTTTAGGAGGAGACCATCTCTTATTAACCAGATAAATTATTTTAAACATTAATAAGTAGCACCAGTGATTTTTTTGGAGGACAGGGCTATTTCTTATTACCCAGATAAATGATTTAGAAACCATGAATAAGCAGAGCTAGACAATTTTTTGGAGGACAGGACTGATGATTCTTTAGCGACCATTAAATAAGTGAGACTAGGAAACTGTTTCCTTGGCAGGAACCGTTTATAATGAATAAGACTGCCTACCGAATCTGTGTGCAGAAAACACCACACTAAGAATGAATCATTTTTCGTATGCAATGCGCCTGTCACCCACATGAACATTGAGGATGCAACAATACAAGCCTAATACATACCCAAAAACCCCGCACATTTCAGTTTCCCCGGCCAGATTCATTCAGCCATTTCGCCACCGAAACCGCCTCACAGGGGCGCGCGGGGCACCAAAAACGGCCGCCGGGATCGACACAGACGGCCAACGGGGTAGGCGGAACGAGCAGGCACCGCCGCTCCGCTCGATGCAAACATCCAGCAGCCGCAAACGCGAGCCGCCACGGAGCCACAGCGCGCGCACCAGCGTGGCCGGAGAGCGCACGGCGGCGACGAGATAAGGAAGAAGGAGAATGAGGGACGCACCTGGGATGGATCTGGAGAACGGAGACGCGCGCCGGCGCTAGCTTCCGGCGGAGGGAGAGCAGAGGAAGCAGGGGCGCGTTCGTATCGTACTTCCCGCCGCTTCTCTGCACCGCGCCGCTGCTGGCCGCGCTCCTTTTGCTGCTCATTTAAAGCCGCGCGTGCTCGGAGACGGCGACTTTTACGGACAGAACCTCGAGGTCCCGTCGTCATCGCGGACGGGCCCCTCGCCCGGTCTGCCGGCTGGTACGTGTGCGCGATTTCGTGAGCCTCCGAGGGGTCTCCGGCGAGTCTGCCGGGGCATCCCGGAAGGTGGTGGGCGGATATGTTTGAGGGAGCCATCGCGGCCGTCGGTGCGCGGATCGGACGCGCCGGGAGCGCCGGGCGGCTGTCGGTCGGGCCGCGGCACCAAAGCTAGCGTGGAAGCGACGCTCGCCGGTCGCGCGCTCGACTTTTATTTTATTTTATTTTATTTGCGGGTTACGGAAAAGGTGTGCGCGGTTGGCGCGTCGCGCGCTCGCGTGCCCCGCGGTGTCGGTGCGGCCCGGCCCAGCCGGTGGCCGGTCCCGCTCGTCAGTCGGCTGCGGCGTCGGTGCGGGAAGGTGGTGGCAGGTCCCGCTCGTCAGCTGGTTGGCTCGGCCGGCCGGCGAGCGTTACGCCTCCGTTGGCAGAGAGGCTGGCTGGCTGAGGATGGACGCGTCGGCTCGCCGGCGTCGGTGCGCATGGGCGTGGGCGTGCCGGGTTGCTTGCTCGTGCAGCGGCGAATCGCGTGAGCCAGACGCCCCGGTGAAACAACGATCCTCCGTCCGGGCATCCTGTCGGTGCCAACCTACCGGGGCGTGCGCGTACGTTATAATTTTTTCGTTTCGAATTATATGTATGGATGTATCTAGATGTATTTTAGTTTTAGATATATTCATTTCTGCGACGAGTAATTTGAAACGAAGAGAGTACGTGCCAGCTGGAAAGCAACGGCGGTGGATGGCACGTAGCCGCGCACGTATACGTACGTACGTCGTGCTGTATAATGATACCATGACAGTACGTGTACTCCTACTGGACGTGGTGCGCGTCTTTCAAAAAAATATATACGTATACGTCTTGCGCGCTAGCCCGGTTCAGTCGGGTACACGGGTTGACTGCTACTCTGCCTCCAGCCGTAGCATACGTCTCGATGCACGCGACGAGAGTTGACTTCACGCAGCACGGTGCGACCGTACGTTCCTCGTCGTACGTCCTCTCCCGGTGAAACACCCCGCCCGTCGCCACGGTGCTACGGGTAGTGGTAGATGCCAAGGCATATTCTCTTTTTTTTAAAAATGTTTAAAGAGGATGTCACCCATCCTAGCACTACTCTCGTCCAAGCATGCTTAACTTTAAAGTTTTGATGGGATCCGATGCTTTAGTGCTGCTTTGATCGCATCCAAAACATGAAGCGCATGCGTGGAATCGAACCCACAACCTCATATTCTCTGGCGCCACGCTCCTCCATTGGTGCCGGCGAAGTCCTCAACTCCTTTGTCGCCGCGCTTCCCGTTCCGGCTTCTACAACAAAACGGTCTATGGTTTTTTTTTTTCCTTTGGTTTAAGAGCATCTCTAGCGGATCCTGAAAAACGATTGAACCCAAAAATTTACGGTTTTGATCCAAAAAGACGCACCGGTCGAATAGATCCTGTAAAACGAGATAACCAGCGGGTCCCCGGATATTATCACCTACATACCCTGTATTGCAGTTTTGGAGTCGGTTTTCTGAGGAATGAGTCACCTACATACCGCGAGCTCTATTTCATGACGAGGAGACTCAATTCCCGATGAGGAGGTTTGATATTGACCGATTTTCATGCGAAATCGTGGCATGTTCATGTATTTCCATGGAAGCACCTCCACCAAAGGAGGTGGGCCGAGGCGGGGAGGCCAACACTAGGAGAGTCATGCGAGGACCCAAGCTGGGCGAGGGGTGGCTGTGTTTGCAGCCCCATGAAAGGACCCCCATGGCCAAGCTCCCACATGGGAGTACCTACACGGGAGGAGGCGAGTCTTGGTAGAAGATGCTAGCGTTAGGAGGGTCAGGCGTGGGCCCAAGCAAGGCGGAAGTGGTCGTGCTCACAAACCCGTGGAAAGCACATCCATGGCCAAGCTCCAACATGGGAACACCTACAAGGGAGGAGGCAAGTTGAGGCGGGAGAGCCCAACGTTAGGAGGGGCGGGAAAGGGACCGAGCCAGGCGGGGGCGATGATGGGAACCAAAGCGCTTCGTCCAATGGTGCTCGACTTGTTGGGAAAGATGAAGAAGAGAAAAAAGTTTCACGGTATGGTTTTACGAGATATGTTTCACATGGATCTTCGCGATACCGTAAAATCGTTTTCGGGGTAATGGCAATGCATTTTCCAGTTTAATTTTTTCAGGGATGTGCTAGGGATGCCCTAAATTTAAGCATTTCAACTCAAACATTTTTTAGGGCAATTTATGTTGGCACGGGGATGATAAAATTAGTTAGCAAGCATGCTAATTTCCTGGCAAAAAAATAAAGTGAGGTGGATTTGCCATGATTATCAAATAAACTTGTTATTCTCAACAAACAAGTTACCAATAAAAACATTTGGTTTTGCCATGGTAAAAAATCATTGTAGGTTTGCTTTCATCCTTCAACCCTGCAGTCCAAACGAGGCAGAGATCCTAATCAGTATTTTCTTTGAACAAGGAGAAGCAGATGATAAGATAATTGCAGTGTGTGTTGATGACCCTTTGTACAAGCATTGCAATGATATCAAGGAGATAACCCGTAGGTCCCCAAATATTATCACCTACATACCCCGTATTACAGTTTTGGAGTCGGTTTTCTGAGGAATGAGTCAACGCCTGGTACGGGCGACTCCTGAGGTAGATATCATGACGAGGAGACTCGATTCTCGGCGATGAGGTTTGATACTGACCGATTTCCTGCGAAATCATGGCTTGTTCATGCAGCTCCATGGAAGCACCTCCACTAGAGGAGGTGGGCCGAGGCGGGGGAGGCCTGTTGGGTAACGTAGTAATTTCAAAAAAATTCCTACGCACACGCAAGATCATGGTGATGCATAGCAACGAGGGGGAGAGTCTGATCTACGTACCCTTGTAGATCGCAACGGAAGCGTTGACACAACGTAGAGGAAGTAGTCGTACGTCTTCTTCCCGATCCGACCGATCCAAGCACCGTTACTCCGGCACCTCCGAGTTCTTAGCACACGTTCAGCTCGATGACGATCCCCGGGCTCCGATCCAGCAAAGCTTCGGGGAGGAGTTCCGTCAGCACGACGGCGTGGTGACGATCTTGATGTACTACCGACGCAGGGCTTCGCCTAAGCACTACAACGGTATGATCGAGGTGGAATTTGGTGGCAGGGGGCACCGCACACGGCTAAGGAACGATCTCAATGATCAACTTGTGTGTCTAGAGGTGCCCCCTGCCCCCGTATATAAAGGTTGAGAGGGGGAGGGCTGGCCGGCCAAGCTAGGAGGCGCAGGAGGAGTCCTACTCCTACCGGGAGTAGGACTCCCCCCTCCAATCCTATTCCAACTAGGACTCCAAGGGGGAAAGAGAGAGAGAGGTGGCCGGCCACCTCTCCTAGTCCTAATAGGACTAGGGGAGGGGGGAGGCGCGCAGCCCTCCATGGCAGCCCCTTTCACCTTTCCACTAAGGCCCATGTAGGCCCATTTGGCTCCCGGGGGGTTCCGGTAACCCTCCCGGTATTCCGGTAAAATCCCGATTTCACCCGGAACACTTTCGGTGTCCAAACATAGGCTTCCAATATATCAATCTTTATGTCTCGACCATTTCGAGATTCCTCGTCATGTCCGTGATCACATCCGGGACTCCGAACAACCTTCGGTACATCAAAATGCATAAACTCATAATAACTGTCATCGTAACGTTAAGCGTGCGGACCCTACGGTTCGAGAACAATGTAGATATGACCGAGACACGTCTCCGGTCAATAACCAATAGCGGGACCTGGATGCCCATATTGGCTCCTACATATTCTACGAAGATCTTTATCGGTCAGACCGCATAACAACATACGTTGTTCCCTTTGTCATCGGTATGTTACTTGCCCGAGATTCGATCGTCGGTATCCAATACCTAGTTCAATCTCGTTATTGGCAAGTCTCTTTACTCGTTCCGTAATACATCATCTCACAACTAACATCTTAGTTATAATGCTTGCAAGGCTTATGTGATGTGTATTACCGAGAGGGCCCAGAGATACCTCTCCGACAATCGGAGTGACAAATTCTAATCTCGAAATACGCCAACCCAACATCTACCATTGGAGACACCTGTAGTACTCCTTTATAATCACCCAGTTACGTTGTGACGTTTGGTAGCACCCAAAGTGTTCCTCCGGCAAACGGGAGTTGCATAATCTCATAGTCATAGGAACATGTATAAGTCATGAAGAAAGCAATAGCAACACACTAAACGATCGGGTGCTAAGCTAATGGAATGGGTCATGTCAATCAGATCATTCAACTAATGATGTGATCTCGTTAATCAAATAACAACTCTTTTGTCCATGGTTAGGAAACATAACCATCTTTGATTAACGAGCTAGTCAAGTAGAGGCATACTAGTGACACTCTGTTTGTCTATGTATTCACACATGTATTATGTTTCCGGTTAATACAATTCTAGCATGAATAATAAACATTTATCATGATATAAGGAAATAAATAATAACTTTATTATTGCCTCTAGGGCATATTTCCTTCAGTCTCCCACTTGCACTAGAGTCAATAATCTAGTTCACATCGCCATGTGATTTAACAGCAATAGTTCACATTACCATGTGATTAACACCCATAGTTCACATCGTCATGTGACCAACACCCAAAGAGTTTACTAGATTCAGTAATCTAGTTCACATCGCTATGTGATTAACACCCAAAGAGTACTAGGGTGTGATCATGTTTTGCTTGTGAGAGAATCTTAGTCAACGGGTCTGCCACATTCAGATCCACATGTATTTTGCAAATTTCTATGTCAACAATGCTCTGCATGGAGCTACTCTAGCTAATTGCTCCCACTTTCAATATGTATCTAGACCGAGACTTAGAGTCATCTAGATTAGTGTCAAAACTTGCATCGGCGTAACCCTTTACGACGAACCTTTTTATCACGTCCATAATTGAGAAACATATCCTTATTTCACTAAGGATAATTCTGACCGATGT